CGATAGCACTAATTAGAGCTCTGGAGTTATCAGAAGGAAAAGTAGTCAACATTTATACAGATTCTAAATATGCATTCACTACCTTATATGCATATGGAGCATTATAAAAAGAAGAGGGACTACTAAATTCTGCTGGGAGATAAATACAACATAGTGAGACCATTCTGAGATTGTTAGATGCTGTCTGGGTTCCTGCATCAGTAGCAGTAATGCATTGCAGAGTACATCAATGTGACAAGGAACGTGTGACCTATGGAAACTGGTATGCTGACACCACAGCAAAGGCCGCAACCCGAAAGGGACGAGGAAAAGAGCTGGTCATGGCCCCTTTGCAGGTAAGAGACTGGATACATTATACTAGAATAAAGAAGGCATCACCTGAATGGACTGCGACTTTTGATCCAAAAAGAATCCCTTGAGACTTCGTATCATCAAACCAACAGTGCCATGAGACCCAGAACGAGGACTACGGCTCTGGTTTTGACCACATACCTGGAAGCTGGTTAAATACATCAGACAGAAGATTGAGGAGCACTGTGAAAATGCCAACGTGTATGGAACATTCTTCAATAACTGTGATAAATGATTGTGTTAAATGTTATTTTTGCTAAGAATGTAATTGCGTGAGTTTGCGAGTCTACTGTGGAACATCCGCTCGCAAAAAGGGGGGAATGTAGCAGTCAGCGGAAAAGAATAATTATAAAAATATATTTAAAAAATGAATATAGGAAAACTTACCTTGAAATACTAGCGAAGGAGTGTTTGCGGCAGGGAGAAGCGAAATGTTCCATAGACGAAAGTAAGGGCTTCAGAGATCAAGGAAGTTAAATATTAACGGGAACATGACATTTGGGAAACAATAGTAAGTAAGATGTTTATTAAAATGTGTTTGGCAGCCAGACAAGGACACTTGTGTAGATAATGGATCTAAGACTGGAAAAGGTCAGAGCAGCATCTGGTGGTTCAGTGAGGTAAATAGCAGGTAACTTTAGATATATTACGAATATGGGAATAATTAAGATTTGAAACAATTATAAGTACGTCAATATAATATGTCATTGTGATGTATGGGAAAAGGTAATGCGAAATACCTCTGTTAATGTTTATATTTGTGTAAATGTCAAGACAGTTATACGCATGTCTAAGACCAGTGGATTTCTGCTATAAATATTGTAAGCTGACTGACTTCTAGTACGCTTCAGAGATTGTTCTGAGCGTCCTATCATGATAGTAAATATGCCTGGAATCAAATTTGCAGTCTCCGTCTCCTTCCTGCTTGATTGTGCTCTAAAATGATCTCGGGTAAAGTATCTGCCGCAACAGGACAAGGAATACCGAAATATGTTTTATTATCTATGTCTGAAATGAAGCAATTTACTTCCATGATCATGATCAGACTGGATTTGGTCCCTTTAGGGCATCATTCAAGAAACTGAGTTCAAACCCAAATACTTCATACTAGGAATTACTGACTTCGAAATGGATAAAAATACGAATAAGATCTTTATTTACCTAATCACAGAAGCAAGGATAAGCCTGGTCCAGTAATGGAAGTTACAAGAAGTACCTACTGTTGAAAAATGGATTTTTAAAAAATGGACATTATGAACATGGATCTATTAACACAAAAGCTCGCCCAGAACAGCCTACAATTACAAAGGATGGATTGGAGTAAATTTAGGGATTTTTTAAAAAGGAAAATATAGAATTCTATGTAAAAATAAATTAAAAGAGACTCAAAGGACTAGATTAACAAGAAACCAACTCTACGTGGACAAAACTGATACAAATAAAAGAAAAATCCTCAGACCGAAAGGACTTTGAAGTACCAGAAAATTCCTTTCTTTTTTCCCTTTCCTTTTTTAAAAATATATAATTTATTTTTTCATTTTTTCCCCTTTCCCCCACTGACTTTCAATTACATTGTTCTCTCACTTTTTATGTTCTCCTTTCTTGAATCTTTTTTATTATCAATAAAAATATTATTTAAAAAACTGATTCTGAGGTTCTACTCTAATGGACACTAGCAATTAGATTTAGGCAAAAACTGTAAAACAGTATAAGATGGCAATATACGAGTATTTCAAGGGTCTGTTTGTATGTACATGGCTTGTTGCACCCTAACATGGCCTGCTGTACCTCTACCAGAGTTTTCTCAGTATGGTATAGGTTGAAAGGCTAAAGGTTTATTACAGCAATAGCGGTTTATATCATTCTCTGACAGAGACAGAACTGCTATTCTACAAAAGAGTATGGGAACAGAAGAAGGACACTGCTAGATGAGATAAAAATCCTATCTAATTCAGTATTCAGTTCCCATAGTGGCTAATCAGTTGCTTTTGGGAAGGCAAGAAGCAGGACATGAGTGAAACTGAGCCCTTCCACTCATATTCTCAAACAATTGGTCTTCAGGGGCATACTGTCTCTGATATTGGAGGTAAAAATGACTTCATTCTCATCTTATCTTTTTCATGCTCTCAGAGTAGAGATTTCAGATGAGGGAGAAGTTATTGTTCTACTTCTGTTCCTAAAGGCCTGAGAGGCTTTGTGAATACTTTATGAGCTAATAATTTAAACTGGCATTATATAGAGAGGAAATAAGCTTTAACCTGATGACATTTTTGATGTCGCCTTCTATTCTTCCATTGTAATGTAAATCTTTTGAGTGTGTGTGTTCATATTGCTGCTGTAACAATCGGCTTTTGGAGCAGGATGCCTGTTCTTGATATCCAACTGAGATGGAATTCATTTTTTGTTGTTTCATTGTAATGAGAGGGCAAATGAGATAGAACAGAGTCCTAGTTGAGTGTGGAGTATGACTTTCAGCTCCTTCGGAGAGTCCTTGTCACGGATGAAAGTTGAGATAGCAGCCACGTGAAGACATGCTACTAAGTCACATAATAAGTTTATTTAAACAAGACAATGTTAGCTGTATTTTCGAATTTAGACATTATGCCTACCATATCAGATTAATTTTCTAGTATGTCAATTAATTTGTTCTAGAAATGGGTATACATTTTTGTTAGTTTGATTATGAAACTAACAAAAAGCAGTATTCCCTGCTTTTAATAAACTCCAGCCTTTCTCTTTATGTTCACTTGTCATTCAGCTCTGTGAACATGGCTATAATATTTTTGGTGTAGGAAGGCCAAGATGTTTTTTTCAAAATGTTACCATTTGCTCACATCCTGCTGCTAGAGTCATGTGTTAAGTTAGGAATAGTTTGAACATTCTCTACAGCAGCAGTCTTTTTGTCCTACTTAAAAAACAAATCTGGAAAGCATGAAATTCCTCCCTTAAGATCTTGATTTATAAATGCAAGCTTCATAAAATTCTGTTCACTGCTTCTTACAGCATTTGAATAAAACAACTATTTTTGATGCTTTGATAAGTTGTTTTTGAAGTTTGCTCTGGAATCAGACCACCAATCCAATTTTCCTTTTTAAATGTGCATTTCAGTTCTGCTCAGAAAAGGAAATTTAAATTTATGTTTGAAAAATATGAGATCCATTTGCTTTTTGTATTAGCAAGATGTTCTTACCCATTGGTGTACTGTGCTATGTGTATAAATAATAAATATACAAAATAATACAGAATACATTAGTAATCAGTTGATCTATACCAGGCTATAATAAGGACAGGAGAGCATTTGATGTTTCAGAGGTTTTAGATATATAGAAGACCTAGTTGTCATGGCTGGTAGTAAGAAATTGTGAGAACTGCCATGGAACATATGAAGAGCCAAATGTTCTCTATTCGTGGGCTGAGATAATTGTTTTGTGTTTATTTACAAAGGGCATGGTTCATATTACAGAAAAACCAACAAGGGGTCTTTTGGCACCTTTCAAAAGTTTACAAATTTTAATTGGGGCTTCTAGGGACTGAAGATCATTTGATGCAGCATCTAATAAAGGAAATAATAGTCCATCAAAACTTCTCCCACAATTAAATTTTATTTTGAAATGCTGACTGATAGGTTTGTCAAAGATAATGGCTAACACTGCAGGTGAGAATATGAATATGAGGGTTTATTAGGACGGCATTGACAAAGTATCCATTACGATAATTGTCATTCTTTTGTTCACAGGTCTGTATAGATCCCTCATTACAAAAATAATTGGCCATGGAAAAAAATTAGACAGCGGCTAAGGAAAAAAGTAATGACAAATAGCTTGGGAACTCACAACCTAGTAAGTGCTGGAGAATGGCAGTTTAGTACCTAAACAAGCCCCTAGTATTTATTTTGTGTTGAGCCAGCATCAACAATATAAACCTCTCTGCTCCAAGGAGAAAAGCAACTTGGAAAGAGGAGCTAGTTGAATTATAAAAGGAGGTCTTGCCTCCCCTAAAAATGTTCTTGCTCCCTTGGGAAGGAACTTGAATACTGAGAAGGCCTTCTACTAATTTTTCCTGCCTTGTGTCTAGTCTCACAAAGGTGAGTGCTTCTAGTACAGACCATTATGTGTCACAAGGAACTGCAGTTTAGATATGTTTAGAGTCAATGGCTCCATGTGATTCATGCAAGCAAGCCATAAAGTAATCTTTCTTTGGCTGAAAGGGCCACTTATTTAACCCCTATGTTCCAAGGAAAGGCCCTTTCACAAGATTTATGACACTATAATTTTATTTGACTTTAACTGCCATTGTAACATCCTACCTTACATTGGGATTTGTAGTTTTGTGAGGAACTAGAGCTACCTAACTGTGACTTTTAAATATCTCCCCTTAAACTGTAAATCTCATTATTCCATAGACAGCTACAGTAAGATATAGCAGTATAATATTGTAGCATGAAGTGGCTGAGAAATTCTATAGTTAGTGAAGTTGGTGTGTCTTTGGTGGTGGCTCATGAGAAAATAGGCAAGAAATGAAGGAAATTATGGTACTTAAGAGTTGTTTATAATCCTGACCTGTGCTTTGCAGAGTTCAAAAATGAATCAACTGTGGAAATTTTGTCTATAAATGTTTGTACAATAAGTGAAATGTGTTTTTTCCCCCAGGCGGCTGTTGAAGAGTGAACTTGGACCTTTCATCACAGACTATTTCCAGGTAACACTGGTTACTTAATTAGATAGTTAAAGCATCACAAAGTTATGTTCTTGCTACATTTTGCTTTGTGGTTTTTAAGCAGGTTGAATGCCCTTTGAGAAGCAGTTGCATATATTGTAATCTTGTCTATTTGTTTATACTTGTGTATCCATATTTTTTCAGTGAGCAGAATTATTCATACAGTTCTCCTGTTTCTTCCTGAAGCAGCACCAGCCATACCCTATAAAACGGGGAGGGACTGGCCAGGGTCATTTAGAGTTCTGTGGATCAATGGGGACTTGAATCTGTACTTCCAAAGCCTAGTCCAGCATACTTACACTATATTCCATTGCCTATGTTCTGTGTTAGATAGTAGATTTTCAATGGGAAGTGTGGACCTACTTCTGGCTGTTGAGATAGGATTGTTGTGTACTTTCAAGTCGTTTAAGACTTAGGTTGACCATGAACGAGGGCCAGTAAATGACCTTGGAGGACCGTATCTGCTCCCCGGGCTGTAGTTTGGGGACCCCTGCTTTAAACCATCCACTGAGTTTAAAATTGAGGCTGTAAGCTGGCTACACCAATAGACAAGATAATTTGTTTTATCTTTGGGCCCTTTCACACTGTACCATTACAGTGCTATGATTCTACATTTAGTGCTCTAGGTCCAGCCCATGGAATCTTGGGGTTTGCAGTTTAGAAAGTTTAGACTTCCAACTTTAGTGCCTCATCAAAATACAAACTCCATGATTCCTTTGTACAGAACTATGGTAGTACTATAATTGTATAGTATGAAAATGCGCTTGGGATCATTTTTATTCTTTAAAATTCTTAACTCAAACAGAGTGTAAAAGTGAACCACAATAAATATTGAATAACAAGGTTTAAATAACAAACATGTAAATTGACTTTATGTCCATTTCCATGTAAGACCTTACTTTAACTTAGCACAACAATTTTCCTGAACTTTTTCACCCTGATACTTCACTATCAACCACTCCAACCAATCTTTTGACTATTCAGAATGCACTACCTCCTATTTCATCCTAGCTCTATTTCTAGCTGAACCTATCTGTCCATGATTTGATTAGTCTTCAACCTATCACTGCTGAATACTTGTCTTCTCCTTATGTTTTAACATAACCTACTTTATATACTTTTTTATTTTTACATCATTCTGAGGACCTACTGACTGACTTTCACTCATGCTTGCCAGCATTCTTCTCCTGATTGTCTTCACAAATGGGCTTCCATAATGTTCTATAATTACTTTGGAGAACATTTTCTTTGACTGATTTGAGTATTGGACTATTACAGGAGACCAGGGTTCTAATCACCCACATAGCCATGAAACCTCTGGGTGATCTTAGGCAAGTCCCACTCTCTCAGCCTCAGAAGAAAGCAATGACAAATCTCATTTCAACAAATCATGCCAAGAAAATTCTGTGATAGGTTTAAAATAAATCAGAAAATACTAGAAGGCATACAGCAATAACAACTGGGTTACCAGCAGTTAATTCTTTATCTATCTTTTTGTTAAGACCTATATGGTGGTGAGTTGCTTGCTTCAATGGAAATACAAATGTGTGACAGTCTTCTGTAGAATGCTCATTAAGTCAGGATTAAACCACATATTCTGAATGTGTGCCAGTATATACTTCATTTGCGGCTTTGAAACAGTCAGTGGAAATCTCATTTCAAAAGTCTCTTTGGGAATTTGGCACTGCTTTCTGAAACTTGCTTAATTTGCAGCAACATTAATTCTAAAACTAGGCAGGAAATATATGAGTCAATGTGAAAGATGTTAGGTATCTTGTTGCATTGTTTTTGTGATGAGGAAGTGGGCAAATGGCAGTCCTTAAGATGTTGAAGGACTGCTTCTTCCCTTAACCATAGCCAGTATTCTCAATAGCAAGTAATGTTGGGATTTGTAGTCCAAAATATGTGGAAAGCTTCTCTTTGCCCACCATAGCTCATTAACTATAAGTGTTATTATCTGCATGAATCCAAAATAAGACTGGCTGGATGAGGCAACCCAGTCATGCATCCCACCTGTTGGGTTGCACTGGAATGTCAAATGCAGGAATTCACTTGAGTGGAAACTCGTGTGTGGGAGTGGGCTACTATGATCCCAAGCTGGTTGTGACCTATACCCTTAAGTCCCAATAAGAGGACCCGAATACTTGGTATGCTGAACCTCATTTAGTCGCAGACTGTATTTAGTCCCCATGCCAAAACTACCCAAAGTTGTGAAGATCAATAATAGCAATATATACCACCAGTTAAACACTTGTGTGCGCCAAACCCTAGAGATGATAATCAAAGCTATTGCCATGGTGTAATTCACTTGTTTGGCTTTAGTTTGGCTGGTTGTTTCATTCAATACCAGAGCTTAGGAAGACTGTGAGCTTTGTTTTGGATGGGGAAATAGAAGTAGTACTAGCACTAGGAACATGTCATCCACCCTTGCTTCTCCACAGTTGCAGTCTGCAAATTGGCATTTGTGCTAAGTCAGAAAACAAACATATTTGCAACTGATGCAATGGTATGCCATTGATAGTGTGTATTTGTGAAGAATGTATAAGGCATATGCATTTATGGGTTTCTCAGATACATATAAATGGGTGTCTAAAATGCTCACTCACTGATATTTCACAACATGGTTCTCATGCACAGTGCAATGGTATTGCATGTTCATGTCTTGTCGCAATGGGAATTGTTTAGTTGACCTTTCCATATGATTTCACTGATTCTTACAATTTTGTAGTTGGAAAAAGTGAAAACAAAGGTACAAATTTCCAAGGTTATTAAAAACTTTATTTTTTTTGCTAGTAATATAAAAAATATCAGGCAGTGATTAGTTCCTATAGATATCTTATTGAATGCCAGTTTTAGCACAAGCTTAAACTGGCAGTGCTCAGAAGAGGTAACTGCACCATGCCAAATTGATCAATAAAAGCTTTAATTATTTAAGGAGAACCACTTTTCATTGATATAGTTATAGATCAATAACACTGACTTCTAGCTATTGGTTTTGTATATTACAATGCTTTTGGAATGAACAGAAGAGTCAAAGGAATTATATTTAATTTGAATGGGCATTAGTAACAACATACTGCATCATCTTTCAGTATCTTAAAAGCCATTATTGGTTCAGAAATCAATATGCTAAAAAGCCACATTTGTTTTGTTTTACCACTTGCCCTTTTTAACCTAGGAGCAAACAGGTGTTTAGTCCAGCTCATTAGCAGAAATGGTGTTAAGCACCAGATATATGAAAGAATGATTCATTTCAGCAATAATGGAAAACCATAGTTTACGGTTACAAGCATGGATAACCACCAAACTGAAGGTTCCCCATTCTTTTCAACTTTCTTTTGTGCTTGCATCTTGAGTAGTAAACCTATGATTCCATAGTTTGTAAGTCCTATCTTATCCTCATAGTGGCAACCTTGGCAGCATTGTGTCTGAACAGAGTTTTGGCTTCCTGACAAAAAATATTGAATATACCTTATCTCACTCATTAATTAGAATGGAGACTGCAGTCAATAAATCAGAATACTAGAACTTGGAAGAGCAATTATGAAGGAACTAGATAAGATCCTGAAGTATGAAGAGCTTTTATTGAATACTAAAATTAGGATTGTTCATGGTATTTCTTTCATTGAATACTAAAATTAAGATTGTCCATGTCATTGTTTGAAAAGCCAAATCTAGCAACCTGACTACAGCTCTTTGGACCAGCTGAAGTTTCCAAGCACTCTTCAGAGGCATCCCCACTTAGAGTGTGATACAGTAATCCAGACTAGATGTAACTAAAGCATGGACCACAGTGGCCAGATCTAGCTTCTCAAGGAATGGACACAGTTGGTGGACAAGTTATAGTTGCGCAAAGGCCCTCCCAGTCACTGCAAATACCTGGGCCTCAAGGTTCAGTGCTGAGTCCAGGAGGACCCGCAAACTTCGAACCTGTGTCTTCAAGGGGAGTGTGACCCCATCCAACACAGGTTGGATTTCTAATCCCTGATCTACCTTCTGACTGACCAGAAGTACCTCTGTCGTGTCTGGATTACGTTTCAATTTGTTTGCCCTCATCCAGTCCATTGCTGATGACAGGTACAGGTTTAGGGTCAGTATAGCTTCCTTGACTTTAAGTGGAAAGGAGTAGTAGAGTCAGGTGTCATCTGCATATAGGTGGCACTGCACTCCAAAACGCCGGATGACCTCTCCCAGCGGTTTCATGTATACGTTAAACAGCATGGGGACAAAATAGAACCACATGTCAATGGCAGGGGGTTCGAATAAGGGGAGTTTGAGAATGGAATTCAAGAAAAATTACTTATATGTAATTCAGTGACCAGGGGAGCATTTGCACAGTTAAAACTTGTGCACCAGCTGCGCCGGTACCTTGGGAAGTCTGACTTGGCCACAGTAGTCAACACTCTGGTTACATCCCGTATAGACTACTGCAACACGCTCTATGTGGGGTTGCCTTTGAAGACTGTCAGGAAGCTTCAAACGGTCCAACGGATGGCAGTCAGGTTTCTAACAGGAGCGGCGCTGAGGGAGCATACAATTCCTCTGTTGCACCAGCTCCACTGGTTGTCAGTTTGCTACCGGGCACAATTCAAAGTGCTGGCTTTAGCCTATAAAGCCCTAAAAGATTCTGGCCCAACTTACTTGTCCAAATGCATCTCCCCTTATGAACCATCTAGGACCTTAAGATCGTCTGGGGCAGCCCTGCTCTCGATCCTGCCTTTGTCACAAGTACGTTTGGCGAGGACGAGAGACAGGGCTTTCTCAGTGGTGGCCCCTCGGCTATGGAACGCCCTTCCTAGATCAGCCCCCTCCCTTTTAACATTCTGGATAAAAATCAAGACTTGGCTTTTTGAACAAGCGTTTGCAAATGCGGTGTAACAGACATAGGAAAATGGACTGGATGATGTGACTGGACAATATTTTAACTAGGAGATGCTAATGATTGGTGTTTTTATTTATATTTTTATGGTTTTGTATTATAT